ATTGGCCTCTCTACATCTGTGGGTTGCCGAACATCGTGCGCCTGCTGCGCCTCCACATTGCGCAGCCGGGTGTTAAATCGGTCAAAAATTTTCATTAGATACACCAACTGCTTCCCGATAATGTCCAGTCTTTTATGAATCTCATCGGACGAATCCGGTTACGTCTATAGGCGTATGCGCACCGTAGCGCTGTACCAACGGAGACTATGAATCAAAAGAGCGGGTCTTATAAGATCCGTTAGGTGCAAAATGTAGAAGCCAAAGTTCGACTTTATTCGGATACCGTATACCCATCAGGACAACGGATGTTCACAGACTTATTTTCTGTAAGTAATTGCAAAATTCACTTAACCCGTAGGAGAGACCGACAAACTCTTGTAAGCCCATTTGTCAAAAATAATAGTCGATACTCTAAATCAAGATAGACTTCTGTATCTGTCCGTCGTCAGCCCGTTCTGCCCCTGTCAAATTTCCTGATATAACTGACAAAAAGCACTGTGTAATAAAAATTATATTTTATTGCTCTTATAAGACCCCCCCCTTTATAATCAACCCATTAACGCCTAAAACTGCTAGAATTTTCCAAAATAGTGTCTGCATTGTAAGTAAGAGACAGTATTGTATCTGCCCTGGTGTTATTGCCTGAAATAAGTTTCAAATAAAATTACATATAACCAGAAAAACGACTAAAATTTCCCAAATTTTACTGGTGATGGGCCACACTGGGCCCAGACAGGTATTTTAGGACGTATGATGACTGAAAGTGGGCTGTACCAACTAGATCACGTCGATTCATACTCTAGTATCCTGGTTGACTATGGAAAGGATAGCAATATTATGCAGGAGTTTATATTTTATCCGATGAGCCCTCTTCGCTGTATGCAAGAATGTCCCGGACAATTCCTAGTCAAAAACTGAGGGCCTAGAAAACAAAATTAATAATCCTGGATGTATTAGACCACAAGAATAGTCATGCGTGTCGGAGGTGTATGCAATGATGTTATTTTATATCACTTAAGTTATACATTTATTTGCCATTTCGATAATTGCATAGCTACTTCCTTCGTTTGTCAAACAAACTGAAGTTGTTGGATAAATTCGCAGTCCATTCATCAGGCGCTCCTGTACTAATCAGCAACTTTTCTCCGAATAAAATTGTTGTGGGTTTTAGGACTTTGCCGCCCTCGAAAAAAGCCGTGTGCCATTCCTTGGAAAATGAGAATATGTTCGTAGTGTGTCAATTTTGCAAGCTTATTTGGAGGTTTTGAGAATAAGAAGCTTTATCGAACACCGGAATCTTGATTTTATTGGTCTGTCCGGTGTTCGATAAAGCTTCTTCTCAAAATATGCACGTTCCTGGAGTGCGAACATTTGCCTCATTTCCGAAAATGCACCTGATTAGTTGATGTCACTGTTTTCTGAGGCTTGGTGTTTACTGCGAAAGTACTACATGGAGTACGCGAACGAGCTGTTAAAGTTGTTTATCATACGCATATTTCTGTAAATGACCATTACCGAGAATTTATGTTGGCGGAAGTTTTCCACTAATGTATTAAGAAAATAATCCGACAATTTCTTATTTTACAATTCCTTTCTTAAGGGCTACATAGCAGTCGCCTGTACGAGATGCATGTAAGGTCGAAAGACATTTAAGTGCGTCTTATAGTATTATAGTATAGCATTATAGTATTTGCTAATGAACCTAGGACTTGACCCTAAGCTAATCCATGCTCTGTGTCTTGCCAGGTTTCGATCGCTTATCTTCCCAACCAAACTCCGGTCACATTACCTTAAAGCTGTTGTGTAGGATATACATTTTTGTGTATTTTCGGGGTCTGTGCAAAGTCCACCGTTTTATTTCTTAAAACGGACGGACAAAATACTCATTCAGAAAATTCATTCTTGCATGCAGTTGAAAGTGTATTTTATTCGGGTAATTGACATTTTCCATCTACTTGACATGTGTTTCGTAAAACAGTTTTGTTTTTTCTATATATGGTTGTGGTAAGATGTCTGACACGCAATATATGTCAATACGTTCGAATAAAATTTCATGCTGTGAGCAGTTTTAAGATTCCTTCGAAAGCGATGCCTTTGTGTCTTCAAACTAAATTTTCTAGTCCAACCTTTTCAAATCCACCTTAATTCCGTCTAATAGAACTTGCGAATTAAAAAGTTTTTATAGCGGTAGACTGAGAAATATATCGGTCAGTAGAGCGAATTGACCGAAATGTTAATAGTTTAGCTTAACCGGCCATTGTTTCAAAAATGTTTACATCACCTTTTCCCGGACAACTCGCTGTGCCTAATATAAGAATCCCTGGGATGCCTATGATGAGGAAAAATCTGAAATTCTTTTCCGAAATTTAACATCTTTTTGATTACTTTCCCTCATAAAAAATTCAAATCCTCCTAATTGTTCCCGGTGTTCTTCTAGTTTTCATGACTTTCAAACATTTCATTTTTCGATACTCACCTCAATCCATTAATGCCCCAAATTTATGCGTTCAAATATGGCTTTTTGTTTACTTCCAACTAACACTACAGTCTCATTTTATAGGGGAACTGGGAACACAGGATGATACAGTAGCTCTACCTCGTCTTCAAAGATTTACCTTTTCCACTATGATCAATGTTTCTAGACCAGAGAACAAGATGGGTAGTTTGCCGATCGAATCCTCCACCCTGCGGGATCCCTCCTCGATTGTCGTATCCACGCATATACCCAACATGAAGGAAGTTTTCCTTGCGCAACTAGCGTCACAGTCGATGCCAATAGCTACAAATTTTGCTGCCCCGGAATTTTTTGAACATTACGAGCAAATCCGTTCCGCTCACCCTACCGGACGGCAGTCTGATTCTGCGAAGACCTCCACAGGTGGTCACACGACTCCCTCCTCTGTTGTTCCACTCGCCAGCGTGGATACTTTACTTCCTGGCCATCGTACCTTTTTGGCAGATTCACATTGCTTCAACAGAACGTCGAACCACTCTTCAGGTGTTCGAGGTCCGATGTTCAACGGAGAGCTTTGTCGTTGCGGAATTTGCCCAGACTGCAGAAGTTATTACACCTCCAACTTTAATTCTGATTTTGTGCATGATTCCAGTGCTGTTTCTCCTGTTTGCTCAGCCAGACCGGCCAACGATCTTAAAAGTGCCGAGCAGCCCGAAAGCAAAAAGCATGGCACCTCTGCGACAACTTTGCTTTACCACTTACCTGAACACAAAGCACTAAAGAGGACAGGAAAGGATACTACCAGCCGGTTACCTGTCGCTGAACGTACGGTTACACTTCTACAGCAACCATTGAATGGTGAAGGCTGCTCTTCTACTGCTGCGGCTAGGACCTCTGACTTGTCTCATCCTTGCAGCACGGAACTGCTCCCCGTTTCGGCTCGCTGTGAAACTGTAACGTCACCATCCTCAAGCGTCCTGTTCGCCTCGACTGCTGTTCATCCCCAAGCTGATACCACCGCCTCAACAGACTATCAAAATTCCCAATTTCTAGCTTCTGCTTCGGCTGCTGAGCGGCTGGTTACTCTGTTGCCACACCCGGACTCCACAAACGTGAGTCATTCATCTCCTGTAGGGCAAGCAGACATTTCTTATAAAGGTGGGCTAGCAAAGACCAAGCAAAAACGGGAGTGAAGAACCTTTGGGACCTCTAAGTCATCACCGTCCAACTACAATAAACTGCCAGCAAAAAATACCCTAAATTTGCACTTGTAGGATTAAATGCTCCAACATAGAACTATCGGTCCATATCTTATAAAAGTCAATTGGGATTCTGTCAAACCACACACGAGTGTGGCGTACAGCCATCTAGCCTGATTTCGGGAGAGCTGTTGATTCATCGTTTTGTCTAGAGGAGGTCGTACAGTTAATCGGGAAGTTGCCATCCGAGGACTTTACCATGGTTTCAGCTTACACATACGAACTTGAGTTCAACTCTGTGTACTCCAGATTGTGGGTTGTGTACACCTGGTCTAAGACGTGGCCTTAGCGCTCATTCGCGACCAAAAGGAGCAAGTATGGGCTTAATACCCATTTATTAGGCTAGATTAAAACCGATGGAAGTCCGGCCGAGGGAGTTTTCGTTTTGAGAGTGCTTGTGAAAATTAATTCGTCAGTCCTAAGGGAAACCGGCAACACTTGTTGTCAATGGCTCACTATTGTCATTCACGCGACAGATCTATTGAACCAATACGCTGGTCAGATCAGGATACGGTGGGCATTATTAAGGGTGTAGACCCAGAACAGATGTTAAAACTAGGGATTTTAGTGACACGCCTGGGTGCGGACTCACGCCGCGCCAATCCCGCCTCTGGTCTTCTTGGCTCTGTCATGCCGCCAGGCCTAAGAGCGAGAAGGACGAGATAGAGTGCAGTAGATACTGCGCAATTCCATTATCATCATAAACAACTTTATGCGCAACTCACCGTCTCTGCGCCCACCCCGATGTGGGCCACATGGTGAACTTCGTCGGAATTTGCGGCTGATTTGTCGTATTGCCCAACTACTGTTAAAACAAATAAATTACCGGCGCTGAGCTGATACCGCTCAAACAGGTTTATGATCATCGACTGGCAGCAGCTGTGCCTATGCGGTCTGTGCACTATCAAGGCAAATTAACGGAAGTGACGTCTTTTAGTGCATAGTATCCGGACCTTCTTTATAGTAACGATATTTAGATCTTGATTTATTTTGGTCTTCAGCGCTCAACAGTGTTTCCATCTTTGGACAAGGCGAAGCCAGTTTTTAGAGAAAGTACGCTCGCTTCAATGTGCCGGTAGTCTTTAAGCTGTCAACAACCGAATGTTGGATTCTGGACGGCGGGTTAAGCTATAGCAAACAAGCCGGCAGTTTTTATTCCTTATCTCTGCTTTTAAGCTGTTCTTCGCTAATGATTGCCTTTTTACTGTGCGATCGCTCACTAAGACTGTTTTCCCAGCCCCCCATCTTGTAATTAGAATACACCGATGAACTGCACTTCCCGCATGGGTAGAAGATTAACGAACCTTCCCCGTACTCTCTCCAATTACTACTCTAAACATGTTGACTCTTTTCGTTTGACTGTGCACCTTAATTTCGATAATTTTTCGTGGTTTCTGCGTATACAAAAATGCCTGGGTGCGTCGCAAGTGACGAGGGTATGTATATGGTATTTAAACAAGACAGACTTATGATCGGAGGCATTTCTACAATAAGGCCGCTAGCACGTCTCCCAAATTATGTGAGGTTTTTGCCGTAATTATTTGTCGTTTAATAATAATCTGAACATCCGTCGTTTGCACTGAAACGTCCGCAAGAATAATCACATTTAGGCATATAAACCTCGTCTAGATGGGGGCTTCACGCCATTTGAACTATCGCGTCCAATCAGCTTGGTTCGAGCAGGCTACTTCAATATAGAAGAAGCAAGAACGTTTGCTCTATCCAGCTTGCAATCGGCCAGCCTGCAGCAAAACCTGCCTTTAAGATAACACGTTTCTTACGAGTACTGAAATGCATATTTTAGCTGAACTCGACGAGCAGCGTCGATTCAGAAGATAATGTCATCCTTACTCTGTCTGTTTGACAGCAGTCCCGCTCCGAGGTATTTGAAACTGTCTACTTATTTTGGTTGGCAGTCATCAATCTTGAGAGGTGCCTTCGATTGGACAGAGATACGGCATGAAAACACGTCGGTCTTCCTAGCATTTATGGACAAACCGACCGTTTCATCCGTGACACCATAGACATCAAAACTTGAAGCTGGTAAGACCATATCCTCAACGTAGTCGTGATCAGTCAGCCGGCACCCGAACATGACGTAGTTGAAGAGAATGAGCAACAGGATACAGCCTTTTCGAACGCACCGTCAGTATGGCAAATCATTCAGTCCCCCTCCTTTTTCTTCTTTGAAACCTGGTTTGTGGGAAATTTGGGACAAGTTCCGGCAGAGTGGTTGGCGTCGCGTGAGTCTGCCCCTAGGTGTGCTATCACAACTGCCATGTGTGATGCCTTTTATGTGGCGCATCCCTTATAACGCCTGCTATGCACTGATTTAGTTCCCGTGTTAATTCGGCGCATATATCGCATGGCTCGTCGTACGGACAGAAAAGGTACTTGTTACTGCCTGTGTTGTCAGTGTAGTAGGACATTAAGCGCCTATCCCTTTTTCTCTGAAGCCAGGTTCATTTGAAGTTGAGGGCAGGATATTATGTTTAGGCCTGTCAGCCCCTATAGTCTCCGTTGCCGTCTCCACCCTGTTTTGCCCTTGAAAGAGGATGGGTGTGGAAGGGTAATTCTCTCGTGAGTCACCATCTCTGCGACAGTTATGGCCTTGCGATTGAAGAACCTACTAATTAATTGTCCGTCTACGCGGAAAATCCTAGTGTTATATGCTACTCAGCACTATTTAATCGCGATTTTCTCACGCAGACTGTTGGTAGGTGGATTGAAACTTAAAGATATTTGATGAGAGTAACAAAGAAAATGTCTCATAGGTGTCTTTGTCTACCCGTGAAGGCGTGTTCGATCTCCCAGTTCCGACTACGGCGCCTGTAATGCTTGGTTTTGGACCTACCCATGTCTGAGGAAGCTTCTTTTGTGTTGTTTTACCGACAACCTGTGCTACCGACAGACATGACCAAGAATCCATAATGTAAGATGGCGACCTAAGCATTAAGCGCGCTTTCAACCCATCGAGTGCCGTTTTGGATAACCACCGGCGTGAATGACTGATTTCATGCGATATGGACCGAATTTCTGAAATGTGTTTTGACTTGGAAAAAGGTTAATTAAGTAGAGTTGTATTATTAATTATTGTACGAGATTTTTCAGTCAATCTAGGGTGTCAGCTTTTGAGTGGACTTCTTTTTGGCCGCCTGCAGCGACGGAATTCGGAGAAAATTGACTATTTAAGTAGTATGTATTTTAATACAGATTTTTGATGCCCATATAAATTCAACTGTTTTGTAGAAATCATGCAAATAATAAGTTTCTGCTCGTTTAACTGGCAATCATTTCTTCTTGAAATTTTATACCTGAAGGAAGTTTATGTCGGATTCAAAGAGTTTCTACTTGTAAGGTTTTTTGAGGAGGTAAAATGGCTGTTCGAATAGCATCGTATCCGTCCGTTTAACAATGTCTCTCGTGAAGTATTCATCATAGCCACATTAATCGCAATTTTTTATGAACAATTTATTTGTAGCTCAGTCGGCTAGAGCGTCGATCGCCGATTTTTTCGCAATTGGGTTAAATGAATGACGATGTAACAATTAACTACGCTGTTAATACGTCTAGGTTCTCATTCGCCCACTTGGCAGTTTACACTAATATATTCCTCTGTTTTTGACATTTGTACTGCACATGTGGCACACATTTTTTAAAAAATTATCTTAACCGCTTTGCCTTCTTGCACGGTACTGCCCAGAGCTACCTGAGCGCTTGCACCTCCTCCCCCTCCTCGTCCATGGAAACCGTGATCTCGAACATCTCGCTCTCACACGCTACTCAGATAAACCGACCTGAGGTCTCTGAAGCAGTGAACTCTACACTGCATACCGTCTCAGCGTTGCCAGTCCAGCTGAAGGCGAATGGCAGTCTCAGCTCACATTTGACGCGGTCTGCTTCCTGTCATCAGGCAACTGGTGGTCGTTTCATCCTCCCAAATAAGGCCAATCCTAGGGAGGCAGTTGATGCGCTGGCCAATAACGTCGTCGTCAGTACTACGTCCGCTACGGCAATCACCCCACAGGTGCATTTAATTTCCCTACCCCCCGCCAGTCATGGCTCCGG